TAAGCAAATCATCTTTTTCTTCTTCGGTGGGCGTAGTCTTCTCGTTACTTATTTTTGATGTTATTTAGGGATGAGAAGCCCAATTCACATAAATAATAAGTAGGAAAATACAATCAAAACTGGTAAAGCCTTTATTTATTTTCTATTCAAATCCAAAATGTATCAAAAGGTACCGTCGAATGTTTTATTTTGATCCCTCGATCACTAGAAACGGTGGCCAAGTCTTTTCTTCATATGACTCAAGTCCAACATTAAAAGGAACATTTATGAAGGATTTTTAATCCAGTCATACCATTCTGTGACCAATAATGGAAAATAATAGTCAATGTCTTCGTCAAGCTCTTTCAGATGGGTAGCCACAATAGGGATCATTTCTCTAAATTCAGGTAGTACGCATCGAAGAATAGGGAAGAGAATTATTTGAAAAAAAGTTTAATATTTATTCATTTATTCAAATACTAACGCTGTGCCATTACTACTTACACACACACATATATATATTTATATACATAAATATATATCTGTGTGTATGTGTGTGTGTGTCTGTCTCTGTGTGTGTATGCCGAGACAATATTTCGTGGTACACTTAATAAGAAGTAGAAATTTGCAATAAAACTGATAATGCCTTTTTAGCTAATATGGGATATTCCTTTTGAGTTGAAATCTAAATCATATCAATGATTACCTTCGAATGTTTTATTTTGAGCCCTCAATCACTAGAAATGGTGGCCAAGTCTTCTTCTTCACATAAGTGAATTCCAATATTAGAAGGAACATTTATGAAGGGATTTCGAATCCAATCATACTTTTGCGATACACTTATGGTCCTATAACCTATATCTTTTTGGATTTATTTCTAAATAAAAATGTAAAAATGGTAGCACCTCTGAGGGTCCCAGCAATGGGCAAATAGTGAATTCCCAAACAAAAATCAACGATACATTTTTATAATAAAATCCCCAACAATACAATTTTATATCAAAATGACAATCAATGCAACATTAAAAGCATAAAAATACATTTTTATAGTAAAATTACTAACAATATATTTTATGATCTGCAACAGGAGTCGGAAACCTTTTGCTAACTATGTGCTGATTTAGGCTTTTAAATCATTCAGTGGGTCAACAGCATACGTATTTTTATACAAGTCAAGATCAACATACCTGTTCTACAATATATTCCATATAGTAATATATAGTATGTATACTTTAGTATATATTAAAATAGAAACAGTTAAATAACGTTGTAGTAGTTATTGGTTCGAACGTAGTGATGTCATTTGCGGCTGCGTGTCATTGGGAATTTCTTGGCGTGCCAAATATAGCACGCTTGCCTTAGGTTGCCGACCCTTGGTATAAACTATAAAATAAAGATCCCAAAATCAAGCCAATGGAGAAATCTGTCATAACAGATGATGGAAGACATGACACAGAATGAAAAGGTCAATTTGCTTTGATGTGCAAAACCTTCCAGAAACAAAAAGTATACGAGGGAAAATTTCATTAGAAATAAGGAAAGGTGTTCTTCACTGCTATATAATGAAATGCTATGAACTGATGAAGGCTGAAGTGCAAAATGGCTGAAACATTGTGATAATAACAACAAAGATGAAGACAATAATCTGAATGTAAATAATAAAAATTAAATCCATAATTTATATCATCTTGTATTGTGGAATGGAACAAATCTATTTAACTATAGAGCAAGGTGTTCTTAGGAGAGTATAAAATTATGTAAAAAATATTTGTAGTTGAAAGCATAAAACGGCGTTTAAAATATTTAGATGTCGGCATTAAATGACCCATAGAGATGTTGATATGCTGTTAAATAAAAACAACTAACAACCAACTGAAGCGGTATAAAGAATCGACTATATTTCGGGAGAGTGAATGTTTTGAGGAGTGTGGAACTACCTCTTGATTAGTGTTTTTTCCAGGTCCACCTCGATCCAGGGTGGTAGCACCTGATAGGGTCCCAGTCAAATAGTGAACCCCAAAACAAAACACCTATTTAAAGTTAAATGACCAACAATACATTTTATAACAAAAGGACCAACAATATATTTTATCTGTAGTTTGAATGGATAGTTCCATTCAAAATATATTCAGTTGATGTGTTGATATGCCGCTAAGCAAAATCAACCAACCAACAATACATATTCATAGTAAAATGACCAATAATACATTTTATCTATCGTTGAAGGCATATAATTGCGTTCAAAATATATTTAGTTGAAGCCATAAAATTGTGTCCAGACTATTTAGATTCCGGCATTAAATAACCCATAAATGTGTTGATATGCCGCTAAACAAAATCATTCACAAAATCTTCACTAGAAATGCCTGATAGGGGGGAAACAGCACAATCGCTAGTGTCCCGATCATGAGGCCATAAATTAGTAGCATTCATAAATTCGTTTTTAATTTTAAAAAAAAGAAAAAAGAACTTGATTTATATATTTCATTGAGTGTTTGTTGCCTTGCTTAAAATTTGAAACAATAGGAAAGTTTGCTTCAAAACAGATTATCTCAACGTATTTTAGTGAATTTCTGTGTCAAGGTCAAATGAAAGAAATATCAAGAATTTTTTTTTTTTTTATCCAAAATTTATAATTACATTAATCGTTATTTTCTTGTCCGTTAGTTCCCGAATATTTTTCTAAATTTATGAATAAAATCTCCCCGTAACTAATGTGTTTCTAAAATTCTCAATATCAAAAAGGAATGTAATCGATAGAAATTAATTTTTGTATTTTTATCAGAATCGCAAAATAGACCTAAACAGTTTTCTAACTATTAACATTAAGGTTGACACAATCTTTAACCAAAAACGGGAAGTAAAACTAGGAATATCGGCGTGGCCCACGCAAGCAGAATAAATACAGGTGTATCGTGTTGTCCGTCATGTCGAGATATAATTGTTGGGCCATTAGAATCTGCCTTGTAACCAACAATTCAACATGGCGGATCACGCAAGTGTTTTAGTCCAGCCGGAAACGGATATAAATTATCCTACTCCAATAATGTTCATTTTATAACAGTCCTGCTGTTAGTATGGAGAGAACTTCTGATGAAAATAAACAAAATAATACACACACATAATATATATATATATATATATATATATATATATATATATATATATATAGAGAGAGAGAGAGAGAGAGAGAGAGAGAGAGAGAGTAAAGGTAATAAATTCATTGGTATATAATCCAAGTGGATCCTATTAATATAAAATATTAAAACTGATCCACAAAAAGAGCTCAATGTATTTATTATTACAGAGCAAAAATTAATACACAATAAAATCAAAAATCACCTCATATGGGGACTAAGCTTGTTTCTACCGACGAAAATACAATTCCTCAGTCTTATCCAATACCGAGGTTGAATAAGAGTGACGAATTGTATTTTCGTCGATCGAAATAAGCTTATTCACCATATGAGGAGATTTGGGATTTTATTGTGTATATATATATATATATATATATATATATATATATATGAGATACCGATATATAAGTGTTTTTATATGAAGAACAATTTTAGGGGAAAGGTGTATGACAGAGTGGAAAAAGTTATCGTGTGACACGTTTCGTCCTTAAGGACTTCATCGGACAAAGTTTACATCAATGTGACAATACATGTACACGAAAGAGAGACGCTGGGAATTTTAAATATAAAAATGATTTTTTTCATGTGTTTTGGGTATATAATCTAGTCAATTTCATTTAGATTGTTTTTGTTTTGCTTCCATCACTTTTGCTATGAAATATCACACATTGTTATAATAGACGACCTGCCAAGGATGGAAAACGTTGTAAGAACCTGGACGCTAATTTACTGTGGACGATCTAGCGATTAAAGCACTTTCTAAACATTTTTTTCTTAGAGAATGTTCGTTTTTTTATTAGAGTAGCATTTTATATCAAAATTGTGGTTAGTCTCATTACGATGAGAAACTAATCCATTTAATGTGTTGTTTTGTAAAAGATTCCTTTTGTATTCATATAATATTTTATTTAAATTCCTTT